AGGGGCATACCCCAGCGAGGGATTGTAGGCATCTCGTCGACGCGAAAAGTGAAACAACTCGGTCTTGTCGTGTTCAAGAACGAGCGCGAAGGCAACAAAGAGAAGGTAGATAATCTTGTAGGCCTTACGCAGGCCCACATTATTATCATCAAGTTGTTTGGATTGGGCCAGAATGGTCCCATCATCCACAAAGGAAAGCAGCGTCATGTTGCGCTTTGATATAGAAGAGCTTCATTACCGGAGCAATGAACAGCCCAGAGATAACAGGCGAGAGAGCAGAGCCCTGCCCGACACCCACGTCCGCAGACCATGAGTCGGATTGAAAGGTGTTCCAACAGTAAACTGTAGAGCGGCCTACAAGGTAAGAGGCAAAGAAGTCCACCAAAACCGGTGAAAACCCCTGCTTGCGAAGAACAGCCATGGAACTTCAAGGCGTATTGACCTAGAAGAAGGTCGACGGAGGGGTCAAGGGGACACTGCGCCAACACTCCATCTCCTGGGGGTGGGCCGTCCCTGAGTCAGACTCATCTGCGGACGAATGGGCGGACCCTGTGGTGGAACGGGACCTGCGGCGGAGTGACGTGTGGCGAGATCGAGCTGGCACAAATGTCGAGTATGTGGCCCTAGTCGAGGTAGGGTCTGGTGAGATTGGCGAGGCACCACCGCTAAGAGACGATGTGCCAGCGACCCAGGATAGGCGCCCATACCTTGACGAGCTCATCGCGAAAGCAAGGGCTGACCCTCTAACAGTACTGGCTGCAACTGATGGCTCTGTCCCTCAGTCCAACCAGTATCAGGCGGCTTCGGCTGCCATCATCTACAAGGGACATTGTGAGCTCGAAAGGACGTGCTATGTCTCTGGCAGAGTTACCGCCCCAGATGCGGAACTCAATGCCATCTTGTGTGCAGTGTGCCTTGCCATCAAGCAGGTGAACTGCCAACATATTATGGTCTTCACTGACTCTATGGGCTCGGCCCATAGAGTGGTCGACCCTTCCGTGCACTCTGGTCAGGCTTTTAGCCTGTCAGTCTGTCGCATGCTCCAAGAGTGGTTCGAAGCGGATGACCTCCGCCGCATCACCTTTGTCTACGTCCCATCTGCTCTGCGATGGGATATTCATGGTGAGGCACACAAGTACGTCACCGAACTCAAAGTCAGGGTTGGACGTCGGAAGACGGACAACTCAATGGATGCGCTACGCTCACGAGCGGCGCACTCAGTCCTGGATTCGTGGAGCTCCACTTTCCAAGATCCAACCTACCAAGGCTCTGAATTCTTAGAGCTTCAACAGCCTGACGGGCGGCTGCTACAGCCATCGTACCTCAATGGGGGACCTTGGCTTTCAACATTCGGACACAGTATCACTGAGTTCGCTCGTGTTTGCCAGTGTATAATTGGCCACGTGCCCATTGGAGTGTATTACCGTCGCTTCAAGATCAATGAGCCTCATGGCTGCACTTGCGGGGCTGCTCTGCAGTCACGCCAGCACATTCTCTTTCGCTGTCGTGATCGCTACTCCGTGCATTACCCCCGCTTTCTTGGGGATATTGCATCTTTTATGAAGTACAACCCTACTGCGTTTGGCTTCAACCAGGACCCTTCAGGTGTTGGATAATTGTTGTGGGCAGGGTTGTTCCTCCTTTCGGAGGATTTATGGTGAATCGACACCACCGAGCTCTAGGGTTCGAAGACCTGCACCTTCCACTATTTCTTCGCGCTTGTGGCCGCTATTATATAGCTGATCGCGGCGCCGCTAACTTTCTGCGTCTGGTTTTGGGCAGGCACCTCTCTGGCTTGTCAGCCTCAAGACACCCTGCCACCTCCCGGGTGGTGCTGTTTTATCTCATTTGCGCTGCGTGGCCTCCGAACAGCGTCCGACAGCTTTGGGGTTTAGCGGGGCCTCAATGGTCTCCTCCCCTTATCCCACATCACCGTTTTCGCAAGGTGGGTCTGGCTTTATGGGAGTTTAGGCGTTTGAGCCATAAGGCTTGTGGTTGGGGGGGCGGACGTCTTTTAGTAGTTTACTTAGTACCCAGGCCGTGTAGTGTACGTGTTTGTAGATAGCGAGCGGGCTGCCATTGAGCACCGCTATATAAATTGTTGATCAAAAAAAAAAAAAAAAAAAAAAAAGAAAAGACGTCCAACCCTGACTTTGAGTTCGGTGACGTACTTGTGTGCCTCACCATGGATATCCCACTGCAAAGCAGATGGAACGTAGACAAAGGTGATGCGGTGGAGATCATCTGCCTCAAACCACTCCTGGAGAGCGCGACAGACTGACAGACTGAAAGCCTGACCAGAGTGCACGGAAGGGTCCACTGCTCTGTGGGCTGAGCCCATGCAGTCAGTAAAAACCATAATATGTTGGCAGTCTGCCTGCTTGACAGCAAGGTGCACTGCACATGCAATGGCATTGAGTTCCATGTCAGGGGCAGTGACTCTGCCAGAGACATAGCGAGTCCTTTCGAGCTCGCGATGTCCCTTGTAGATGATGGCAGCTGAGGCCGCCTGATACTGGTTGGACTGAGGGACAGAGCCATCAGTTGCAGCCAGTACTGTTAAAGGGTTGGCCCTTGCCTTCGCGATGAGCTTGTCAAGATATGGGTGCCTATCCTGGGTAGGATCACGTTCATCAAAATGGAGACAGTCCACATAGCGGTCCAGTAACCGGTCACCAGGGCAAGCTTCAGGCACAAAGGGCTCGAAGCTCTCAGTTAAGGTGTGGATGCACTCGTCCACCTCCATGACGGTGCTCTTGACTTTCCCTCGCATAGCTGGGGTCATCAAGGCGACAGAGCAGGCATGTGGTTTGGCCTGCTTGAGGAGTCCCTCACCCATCATGGAGCAAAGAGGGTGAGTGTCTGAGAGGGTGGCAACGCGGTACACTGTGTGCATTGCCAGCTTCTTCAGCATAAGATGGACAGGAATGAGACCTGCTAAGGCCTCAAGACTGCCTGTGGGTGAGGTGCAGAAGGCACCTGTAATCCATAGAGCAGCTTTCCGCTGCATCCGCTTCAGCTGGTTCATGGTGCCCTTATTACAGGCGCCATCAAAGTACCAGACACGATAACCGTACGTGGCGATGGGAACCACACATGATCTATAGAGGAGGCGCCGCTGTTTAGGCGACAGGCCTCTTGTAGAGTTCCTGAGCATGCGCATGGCCTGCACAGTGGTGAATGCCTTGGTGGCATAGTAGCGAACATGCTCATGGAAGGTGAGCCCGTGGTCAAAGTAGAAGCCCAAATACCTCCAATAGGTCTTGGGTTTCAAGGGTGTATCACTGGTATGCAGGGTGTACCCCAAATCCAGCAAGGGATTATAGGCGTCTCATCAACGTGAAAAGTGGAACAGCTCGGTCTTGTCATGTTCAAGGACGAGTGCAAATGCAACAAATAAAAGGTAGATAATTTTGTAGGCCTTCCACAGGCCCACATTATTATCATCAAGTTGTTTGGACTGGGCCAGGATGGTCCCATCGTCCACAAAGGAGAGGAGTGTTGTGTTGAGCAGCGCTGCTTTGATGTAGAAGAGCTTCATTACTGGAGCAATGAAGAGCCCTGAGATAACAGGTGAGAGAGCTGAGCCCTGCCCGACACCCACGTCTGCAGACCGCACGTCAGATTGAAAGGTGTTCCAACAGTAGACCATTGAGCGCCCAACAAGGTAAGAAGCAAAGAAATCCACAATTATTGGCGAAAACCCTTGCTTGCGAAGGACAGCCATGAACATTTCATGGTTGATAGAAGGGAAGAACTGTGTGATGTCAAAAGCCAGTGCGCTAGTCTGGAGACCCTTAACCCACCATATCCATGGTGAGGCACACAAGTACGTCACCGAACTTAAAGTCAGGATTGGACGTCGCAAGACGGACAACTCTATAGACACGCTCCGCTCTCGAGCTGCGCACTCAGTCCTGGATTCGTGGAGTTCCACTTTCCAAGATCCAACCTACCGGGGCTCTGAATTCTTAGAGCAATGGCCTGACGGGCGGCTGCTACAGCCATCGTACCTCAATGGAGGACCTTGGCTTTCAACATTCGGACACAGTATCACTGAGTTCGCCCGCGTTTGCCAGTGTATAACTGGCCACGCGCCCATTGGAGCGTATTACCGTCGCTTCAAGATCAATGAGCCTCATGGCTGCACTTGCGGGGCTGCTTTGCAGTCTCGCCAGCACGTCCTCTTTCGCTGTCGCAATCGCTACTCCGTGCATTACCCCCGCTTTCTTGGGGATATTGCATCTTTTATGAAGTACAACCCCACAGTGTTTGGCTTCAACCAGGACCCTTCGGGTGTTGGATAATCATTGCGGGCAGGGTTATTCCTCCTGTTGGAGGATTTAGGGTGAATTAACACCACAAACCTAAGGGTTCGGCGACCAGCGCCAGCTTCACTTTTTCGCGCTTGCGGCCACTATTATAGCAGGTTGCAGCGCCGCTAACTTTCTGCATCTGGTTTCGGGCAGGCGCTTCTCTGGCTTGTCGGCCTCAAGACACTCTGCCACCTCCTGGGTGGTGCTGTTCTTATTTCATTTGTGCTGTGTGGCCTCTGAACAGCATTCGATGGCTCTGGGGTTTAGCGGGGCCTCAATGGTCTCCTCCCCTTATCCTGAGTCACTGTTTTCGCGAGGTGGGTCTAGCTTTGTGCGAGTTCCAACATTTGAGCACAAGGCTCGTGGTTGGGGGGGCGAACGTCTTTTAGTAGTTTACTTAGTACCCAGGCCGCATAGCATACGTGTTTGTAGATAGCGAGCGGGCTGCCATCGAGCACCGCTATATAAATTGTTGATCAAAAAAAAAAAAAAAAAAAAAAAAAAAAAGACCCTTAACCCACCCCACTCGCACAAGATGAGTCAGAATCAATCCAGCATCCTCAGTTGACCTCTGGTGGATACCGCCAAGTTGGTTCGGATGAAAGATATCATGTTTGACAGCGTCAAACTGTATCCTATTTGCTATCATCTTCTCGGCTGTGATTTGGGATCCACCAAGTTCTTGCTGGGTGTTGGATTGGTCAGGACAAGGACAAGAAACTCATCACACTCCATCAGCATCAGTTTATCCTTGATATGCTTGAACGCTATGGTATGAGTGACTGTCATCCTGTCCAGACTCCTATGGCACCTGGTACTGTCTTATCCAAGACAATGGGTCCTGAAAACAGTGATGAGGTGGAATTCATGCGAAATGTTCCTTACCTCAGTGCAGTTGGTTTGCTTCAGTACTTGGCCACTATGACCCGTCCAGACATTGCTTATACTGTGTCCTATTTGGCACGCTTCAGCTCCAATCCTGGCCCTAAACATTGGGCTGCAGTCAAGCATCTCTTGTGCTACTGCAAGGGAACTCTGGAGCACAAGTTGCATTTCAATGGTCAAGTAGACTCTCGTGAGTTTACTACCTACTCTGATGCTGCTCATGGTGATTGTGTGTTGATACTGGACGTTCCACTGCTGGTTATGTCACTACACTGGCTGGTGGAGCAATTGGTTGGGCAAGCAAGTTGCAGCCCTTTGTCACTATTTCTACAACTGAAGCAGAGTACATATCTGCTGTAGAAGCTGGCAAAGAAATTCGCTGGATGTGCAACATCCTTGGTGAATTTGGCTATCCTGTCAAACAAGCTTCACCTTTACATATTGACAACCAATCTGCCATTACTGTGTCCAAGAATCCAGAGCATCATGGATGTATGAAACAACTTGACCTCTGTTTCTTCTGGCTGCGTGAAGCAGTCAATGAGGGGGTGATCACTCCTCATTACATTCCTACTGCTGAGCAGGTTGCCGATCTGCTCACCAAACCTCTACCTATCCCCAAAGTCCAATATTGCAGAGACAGAATGGGTGTTTTGGTTTAATTTTTGAACTTTGAGACATGTTTGATCACAGGGGTGTGTTGAAACTTCCATCACATGTCTCAACTTCTATATGGGGTTGGACCACATGACTGCACATGACTGTGTCCTCACATGATCAGGTGACATCACCTGACTCATCCCAAAGTGGTCTAGATCTATCCCCATTCTATTTCATCTTATCTAGATACATCTGTAGATTCATCTGATCTCTGGATCTGCATCTGATCACAGATCAGATCCCAGATCCACTTGGTTACCTTTATCATTCTTATTGTTCCCAGTCTCCATTTGGGTTTCCCTTTGTTCTTTAGTATATATATGACTGCTGTCAGATGCCTAAAGTCCCCAGTTTCTCACTCCAGACTTCAGAGCCTCATATCTCCTCAGTCCCTTATCCCAAGTTGCTCATCTTTGGCACACTATTGCCTTATGTGTTCCCCTACCTGTCCACACTTAACATCAAGCAGGCGAACTGCCAACATATTATGGTCTTTACTGACTCTATGGGCTCGGCCCACAGAGCAGTAGACCCCTCCATACACGCTGGTCAGGCTTTTAGTCTGTCAGTCTGTCACGCTCTCCAGGGGTGGTTCGAGGCGGATGATCTCCGCTGCATCACCTTTGTTTATGTTCCATCTGCTTTGCGGTGGGACATTCATGGTGAGGCACATAAGTACATCACCGAACTCAAAGTCAGGGTTGGACATCGCAAGACGGACAACTCTATAGACACGCTTCGCTCTCGAGCTGCGCACTCAGCCCTGGATTCGTGGAATTCCACTTTCCAGGATCCAACTTACCGAGGCTCTGAATTCTTAGAGCTTCAACAGCCTGACGGGCGGCTGATCCAACCATTGTACCTCGATGGGGGACCTTGGCTTTCAACCTTCAGACACAGTATCACTGAGTTTGCTCGTGTCTGTTGGTGCATAACTGGCCACACACCCAGTGGAGCGTACTACTGTCGCTTCAAGATCAATGAGCCTCACGGCTGCACTTTTTTTTTTATTTTTTTTTATCAACAATCTATATAGCGGTGCTCGATGGCAGCCCACTCGCTATCTACAGAACATATACGCTACGCAACCCGGGTACTAAGTTAACTACTAAAAGACAATTGCCCCCCCAACCAAGACCCTTTGGGCTCAAATGCCTAAACTCCCCAGAGGGCAACCCACCTCGTGAAAACAGTGCATCAGGATAAGGGGAGGAAACCATTGAGGTTCCGCTACGCCCCAAAGTCGTCAATTGCTGTTTGGAGGCTACGCAGCGCAAATGAAATAAGAAAAGCACCACCCAGAAGGTGGCAGGGTGTCTTAAGGCCAACAAGCCAGAGAAGGGTGCTGCGGTCCACCAAAGTAGGAAGACCACCTGCACGAAAGAATTGTCACGGGCGCAGGTCTCTGAACCCTAAGGTTCGAGGGTGTCAATTCACTGATAAATCCCCCAAAAGGAGGAATAAACCTGCCTGCAGCGATTATCCGATACCTGAGGGGTCCGGTTGAAGCCAAACACTGTGGGGTTGTGCTTCAAAAACGATGCAATATCCCCGAGAAAACGGGGATAGTGTACAGAGTATTGATCGTGGCAGCGAAAGAGGATGTGCTGGCAGGACTGCAAAGCAGCCCCGCAGGTGCAGCCATGAGGCTCATTGATCTTGAAGCAACGGTAATATGCTCCAATGGGTGCATGGCCAGTTATACACCAGCAGACGTGAGCGAACTCAGTACTACCTCACGGCTGCACTTGCAGGGCTGCTTTGCAGTCTCGCCAGCATGTCCTCTTTCGCTGCTGTGATAGATATTCTGTACATTATCCCTACTTTCTCAGGGATATTGCATCGTTTTTGAAGCACAACCCCACAGTGTTTGGCTTCAACCAGGACCCCTCAGGTATCGGATAATCGCTGCAGGCAGGTTTATTCCTCCTTTTGGGGGATTTATCAGTGAATTGACACCCTCGAACCTTAGGGTTCGGAGACCTGCGCCCGCGACAACTCTTTCATGCAGGCGGTCAACCTCGTTGGTTGATCGCAGCACCACTGACTTTCTGCATCTGGTTTCAGGCAGGCGCATTTCTGGCTTGTCGGCCTCAAGACACCCTGCCACCTCCCAGGTGGTGTGATTCTTATTTTCATTGTGCTGTGTGGCCCCCGAACAGCGATCAACAACTATGGGGCATAGCGGGTCCTTGATGGTCTCCTCTCCTTATCCTGATGCACTGTTTTTGCAAGGTGGGTTGCCCTCTGGGGAGTTTCGATGTATACACCAGAAGGGTCTTGGTTGGGGGGGTGATCGTACCTGGGTTGCGTAGCGTATATGTTCTGTAGATAGCGAGCGGGCTGTCATTGAGCACTGCTATACAAATTGTTGATAAAAAAAAAAAAAAAAAAAAAGACACCCTTATGCTTCTGGGAAGCTGGGATGCGAGGAGGGAGGCCAGACAACCAAGATTGTCCAAGGCCTGCATGAGGACATTGGGCAGGGCCCCTACGTCAACACCCTTATTGAGCAGCCCATGGGCAGCAGGACGAGGAGGTCAGAAGACGGGAGCCAGGTGGATAGTTGGCTCATCCTTGGAAGATGTCTCAGCCTTGAGGAGGGAGGTGAGAGAGAAATTGTCAAGGTCGCCTGGTGCATGAATCCTGCTAAAGTCGGTGACCATGATGGCGTTCATGAAGGACATCATCTGGGCCGCAAAGACATTGCCCCATCAATGGAGAGCGGATCATGATGCGCAGCCCGCAGAACCCAGTCTGTGGCTTTCGCAATAGAAGTGGTCAACACCTCGAGATCGCCAGGAAGGTCCTCAACAGTGTCTTGGAACTTCAGGGCATATTGACCTAAAAGCTGGTCAATAGAGGGGTCCTTCGAGACCTCCTCGCCTTCCTGAGCACCCTCACCTCCATTTCCTGGTGTGGTTGGGCCATCCCCAAGTCAGACTCGTATTCAGATGAAGGGGCAGAACCCGTGGTGGAACAGGACCTGCAGCAGGGTGATGTGTGGTGGGAGTGAGCCAGGACAATTGTCGAGTATGTGGCCCTAGTCGAGGTAGGGTCTGGTGAGATTGGGGAGGCGCCACCGCCCAGGGATGATGAAGCCCACCGATGCTT